GCGTCCTTCAGATGCAGGCTCACTATGTCTCTTCGTAGTGACATGTTTTTAAGCCAGCAGATCACAAGGACCAATTGGCTGCCATTGTGGAAGGATTTATTGACTCTGTGTTGTGGTCCTTGAGATACCCGAGGATGAGATTCCTATACACTTTTGGGAGACAGGCACGCTGGTCTCCTCCTTAAATGGGAAAAGCTCTCCTCTTTGGAGTGTAGTTGTGATGCTCGAAAGCAGGCAGTGCAACATACTATGGGGAGAGCACCCTCTGCGCGCATATCCAGAGACTCTCTGTATGCAGCTCTGACATGCATTGATTATGTAGTCTCCCTCTGAATTTGTAACTAGGGTAAGTAGTTTCGTATTTGCTCCTTGAGAAAGTAATTGTGCTTTTTAACATTTTTGCCATATGCTAAATAGCACTTAGCAATAGCGCTTAGAGTTACATATCACTTCACAGTGCTTCCCAGCCCTCTCTAAGCGGTTTACAGAGTCAGCCTCTTGCCCCCAACAATCTGGGTTGTCATTTTACCAACCTCAGAAGGATGGAAGGCTGATTCACCCTTGAGCCAGTCAGGATCGAACTGCTGGCAGTTGGCAGAGTTTGCCTGCAATACTGCATTCTAACCATTGTGCTAGCATGGCAAGGAAGGAAGGATGGAGGGAGAAAAGGGAGGGAGAGAAAGAAGAAAAGGAGGGAGAGAAAGGAGAAAGGGAGGGAGGGAGGGAAAGAAGCAATAGCAATAACACTTAAGACTTGTATACCATTTCACAGTGATTTACAGCCCACTCCAAGCAGTTTACAGAGTCAGCCTCTGGCCCCCAACAATATGGGTCCTCATTTGACCCACCTTGGAAAGATGGACGGCTGAGTTAACTTTGAGACTGTAAGGATCGAACTGCCGAACTGCAGGCAGACGGCAGTCAGCAGAAGTAGCTTGCAGTACTGCATTCTAACCACTTGCGCCATCACGGCTCTTAAATAAAATAAATCAATGCTTTGGTTTCTGTCACCTGAGTAGGGCTTGCTATCACGTCCTCCACAAAAATAAGGACATCAAATTGATCCAGTTTGTTCTGACCGAGGCTTCCCAAGACCATGAAGCAAACTCCTGGTCCCGACAAACACCCCTTTTATCAATTGACTGTGAATTCTGCTCATTCACATCTAGCAAAGTCTTTCAAGGGAGGATTTACAGTCACAGACCTTATCTGGCTTGGAGAGCTGCCAGGACGATATCTGCAGAACTTGGCAAGGAGCCTCAGAGAATCACAAACCAATGAAGTGAACTAATGGTCTCCTGCAAACTCCACTCCCCTTTCACTCTTCTTTTATTTCCTCTGGGAGGGACCATTCATCGTCCACCTGTGGCCTTACTCCCAAGTCGACCCCTGTTCTTTAGCTGTTCCCTTCGTCTGGCAACTCTGCGCATTCACACACTGGGAACAGGCTCCAACTGTTCTTCTGCCTCACTGATGTCTCACTCTGAAGGCAGCTGAGAACTGCCAGATGGCCTTGGCCCTATCTCTGCCTTTGATGAAGAGCCCTCGTCCGAACCTTCCCCAGCCTCCAGGACTGCTCCATGTTCCTCCCCAACCTCCTCACTGTCTGCCTCTGCTCCCAGCTCTACTGGCTGGCCAC